CAAAATCTTCGGATCTGTATTAGTTCTATCAACATCATGAATTTTAATACCAACACAATCTCCTTGATTAAATTTATCAGCGAAGTTTCTTAAATGTTCATCATACAATTTCCGTTTTTTATTTGCCATAGTTAAGTAATTCTCCGTTGCTTGTTTACGTACTGATTCATGTCTATGTGATGGTACAGAAAAGGCCAAAGAACTCGATGAACATGAAGCATTAGCAGTGAACAATGTGGAAGGAATAACAACTGGTGATTAAGAAGCATCGAAAGTTAGATTAGCAACGGCTTCAGTTCCAACACATGATCCTACAATAGAATTTAGATCATCAAGAACATCAAAACTACGAAAAAAATTATCTAAAACTATTACAGAAGGTGGTGCCAACAAAACATGTGAAACATGTTTTGAAGGTGGAGGATCAAAAGGAATGAGATTATCAATGAAAAATGAAGGATTAAGAACAGGAGCAGTGCAAACAGAGGTAGATGAAAGACCGAGAAGACATGCAGCAACAGAAGTAGTATCATCTAATTGTGGATTATCTGGATATAGAGCCATCAGAGCGTTAGATAATTTCAAACTAGTGTCGTTCCTTCTTCACTCGAAGACGTGAACTCTTGCATCACCCATTATGTGTTTAAACACGTGCACCGTATGTGCTAGCATGTGGCAACATATTTCATGCTACGAAATCTACTTTTATCACATCAAATGATTCTTATTTAGACCTATGATAAAGGCCAAAAGGCTTATTCAAACAAGAAACTATAATCTATGAGATTCTCTCGGATATCTTCTTCATCGAGTTTTCAGAAAACATTATGCTTTAAACAAAATGAGACGAAAGTTTTTATCGACGCACTAAGCCACAATCAGATGTATATCTAAGTTATTAACGACAAGAACAAAATTGATTTGTTTTCAGAAAAGAGAGGGTATGTACTTCTAAGAATAACTGAGCAAACATGTAGATACTTTACTAAAACTAAATAATGTCTTATTCGAACAAATTGTGGATTTAAGAAAAAATTCAGTGAATTTAGTTTAAAGAGAACTGACAGCAAGTGACTGTAAAATGAAACAGGCTTTATGAAACGATGCCTCCTCCTGTCGATTCAAAAAGGTCAGAAACGACAGATGGCGCTTCCTCGTCTTTTCTGGCTGTCGTTGTTCGCTCAGTAGAGATCTTGTACGCTTTAAAACGTTCTGTAAGAAGAGTGATCGCTTCAGATGAACTCTTCATCTTTCTATATCGCCGTCCTATTATCAAAACACAGTCGACACAAATTACTGTAGTAATCAATCTCTGTTTTAATTAATTGATTTTTAAATCACATTTCAGAAAACCCATATCGAATTCGTGATTAACATCAAAATTCCTTAAATTATTGTTTCGGTCATATCCGAGAAAAGTAATCGAGTATATTTTCTTGTTGGAGTTTTAACTTTCCCCATTTATCAGCATTAAGCTTTCACTTCGTCTAAGCCGCTTGATTTATCATATCATCTCAGGTATATGTTAAATATCCGTTTAAAAACATTTAATTGTTCAAGAAAAAATGTTATATTTTAACAAAAAAAGTAATATTTTATCATTAATTTCTGAGCGTCGCACATTGATCTAATATGATGTCCAAATAAGTAGCGGTCAATACTGGTCACCATAATATGCAAAGAGCGAGAAAATTTTATGATTTGTGGAACATAAAGAAAACATGAGTGTGCTCAAATTTCTGTCTTCCACTTTATTACGGGAGAATGGTTAGTTCGAGTAGCACTAAATGAGTCAGCATTTGGGGTTTCTCAATAGTCGACCGTGTTCCGCAACAAAAACAACCAGTAAAAAGTTATGATAAAGTTGTTTAACAGATACGTTCTCACACTAGTGATCAACATGAGTTGCTTGTATATAGTTCGACAAAAAATTTTATCGATACATTACATTTTATAAGATTTTGACGGATCAAACAATTTTTTCGAAAATTAACGGTTTTAAATACATTCTTTGGTCATGCAGAATAAAAACTTAACAACAAACCAGATAATAGATTTTATAGTGGTAAAAGTCAAATCAACAGGAAAAGTCTTGTTTATCATGGTAAAAGTGATAGAGTTACCGTTTCTTTATATGCAGTTCAAAAATACTTAAATAAAATGTTTGCTAAACAAAAAAACAAAGCAGATCAATTCTTCAGAAAATTCTTCATCTATGCATTAGAAAAAATCCGGATTTTATATGGTGTTATATATGAACATAGAAACTGTTGTATAATAATATTATTGTGAATAAATAAAATAAAATAATTATAAACCACTTTCATGACACTTAAAAAAAAAAATTTTCATTCCATCACTATTCATGTCAAATTGAAATATATTCAGTATAATGTACACATAGACTGGTGTCTACGTTACTTGTATGTGTATGTTTGTTGGACGATTTTCTTTTACACTCTTAATATTATTCTTTCACTTTTTATTGAAAAAAGAAAAATTGAAGAAAATCATGTGATCATATATTTGAAGAATATTGAAATAACAATAAAAAAAAAATGTAACAGGATTGAACGAGTCAGTGAAGAACAAAAAACAGCCATGCACAGATGGTAAAACAGATGATATGAGCAATTGAGTTCAATATTTTGTAAGTATAATTTGTATATACTTACAAACAGCTTAAACAACAATGAAAATCATGAGGCAAAATTTGTGAGCTGGTTCAGCAAACTATCATTTAAAATATTCCATTCGTTAGGAAATCAAAGAGACAATTTGTTTCAGAGACTACTTAGTGACTATAAAATATATTGTTTAAATTATACTTTAACTAAGTCCAGGTATCTGACAGCTTTTAAGTTTTTAATTATGATTACAAATATTTATCCCTTATTCTTGAGTTATTCGACTCTAGCAGTTTTATCAATCGAACAGAATATGTGCTTCATTCATTCCCAATCAATAAATCTCATTTATCTGTCTACATTTAGCGAAACGTTACTATATTAAACAACATGGCCAATCTTCTTCGTAAAGGGTAAATATACCACTATTCTTTTATGAGTCTTTGCCACTTAAAAAGGTTGTATTCAGAAATCGAACTGAACCTGCCTCTTCACCGCCTCAATCGAACCGACAAAAAGTATCGGATACATCACCAGCGCCCCCAGCTACTGATGGTAGCATAAATCCATGGGATCAAGCTCAAATATGGATAGAAAGTGTACAGAAAGAAGATACAACACGAAAACAATGGCAAAAGATGTATGGCTTTTTGGCTGACTATGATCCAAAAGTAATTAGACTTCAAGCATACATTCATTCTATACTCAACTGTTGAGATCTTGAACAATATTCAGGAAACGTTTCTATGACAATGTCATCATGAAATAAATTAGAGTATATATAAATGTAATTCTTTTTTTTCATATTTAGGGAAACCTTAAAGTACGAACAAAAACATTAGAAAACACTACTCGTTTCTCAAATACGCTACCAAATTCACGTGGTCACGACTACGGTTGGCGATTACAAACTGATGTTGGACAACAAATTAAAAATATGCAAAGTCAATTTGATGAACAGTTTCGTATACGTGTACCTAAGGAAGTATTAGGATATGATTAAAAACATTTATTTTTATACTCTTTAATTTTTGTTTTAAATGGTATATGAAAAAATATTTATATTATAGAAAATATGGACCATAGTTTATTTTTCAATTATAACAAAAAAAAAAGAGATTAACAGACAAACACGATTCTCTATTGTCATAATTTGATACCATATCTCATTTTAGCTGATCTCGATCTTGGATTGATATTAATTTCCTCTTCATCTGCTTCAATAATTTTTTTATGATACCGATAACGATTTTCTTGATTCGCTTCGTTCGCTAATTGTGTTTCATCCAAATTAAAAATAAACATATCTGGTTTTAATACAATACCTTGAAAATGTCTTTTAACAATTCGATCTTCTAACGAATGAAAACTAATTGCAACAAGATGACCACCTTGTTTGAGTAAACTAGAAACAAAATAAAAACATTGAATTTGCAAGGTAATAGTACACTATAATATTCTCGAGTTAAATATGTAGATTTATTATGCATAAATCAAAGTAAATCATAAAAGATGCCAGAAATGCAAAAAGTCAGCAAAATGTTTTGTTTTCATTTTGTTATTTATGGTTGGATAGAGCAGCACATTGAGCTGATCCAGAAAATATGTATTTTTTAACGTTTGAAAAACATTTTTCATGTCGAAAAATTGAAAATATTTGAAGAGTCTAAATTTTCGAGAGACGCTTCGGTTTCAAAAAAATTCAAATTTCTTTCTTTTTTGTTCTGCTAACATTTTGAAAGAATTTTTTTCAGATTCAGCATTAAAAACTGGGTATGAGAATGATGTTGGTTCGAGGTTGATATTTAAAGTCTATCCTGTATGGACGTCTTGGACTCGTCCTGTAAAAACTTCATAAATAATTTTGGAAATCTATCTAGCTTTTTGTGTGAAGGGATGAAGCCGATTTCTGTACTCCAAATCGCTTTTTTTTATTTGGCTTCGCCACTGAGAAAATTCATTTTTTCCAGATCAGGAACGAAAAAGTCTTAATTCTCTATTTTCTCCATCCGAATTCACCTTTTATCCGATATAAATATATATTCGGAATCAGCGTCAAAAACGGAGTCGAATGAGATATATTTCGAAAGTTTTCGTTGATTTTCATTTTTAGGTAAAAATCTCATTCACTTTTCGATTTAAAAATATACAGAAGTGGTCGAATAGTATAAAAAAAATACATCATTCGACTCAGTTTTTGACGCTGATTCTGCATATAATATTTGTATTGGATTAAAGATGAATTCTGATAGAGAAAATAGAGAATTATAAGCAGAATTACAATTTTTGTTCGTTCCTGATCTCGAAGAGATGAATTTTCTCAGTACTAAAGCAAATAAAAAAACGTGGTTTATACTTTTTTTAAACTCCTTTAATAGCATGAAAAACGTTTTTAAACATTAAAAAACGGATATTTTCTGAATCAGCTCGATGTGCTCTATCCAACCATATATAGTAAAATAAAAAAAAGATTTTGCTGAATTTTTAGATTTAGTGAAATTTGATTCGTGAAAAGAAATAAAATCATTCTCTTTGCCTGTAAGCATTTTCTAGACCATTGTACAATTCATTTAATTCATCGTTAACAACGATTCGTAATGCTTGAAACGTTTTTGTTGCAACGTGAACAGATCGATTCAATTTGTCATATTCTGGAGTTCTAAGAAATATTAACAGAAAACATGAGAAATGCTGTAAAATGATATTTTATAATAAATACACACCCTCCCAAACAAATTTTAATCACTTCTGCTAGCTGTGTGGTTGTTGTGATTTTTCCAAATGTATTTCGCCACTGGCATATGCAACCGGCAATTTTCTTATATCGAGTTTCTTCACCATATAAACGTAATATTCTACCAAGAGATACTTCATCTAATTTATTGACAAGATCATAGGCTGTCACAGTCTTTTTACTAGAACAATAACAAAAGCGAATTATTTATTACTATTTTGAATAAATATAAAAAAGAATGGCATACTTGTTTATATTCATTCTCATGTCCAATGGACCTTCTTTTATCAACGAAAAGCCACGCTCGGCCGCACTTAATTGCATTGAACTGAAAAGTGGAGAAACAAAAGATATTCTCGCTCTTGTCGCCTTATAAAGTATTTACTTACCTCATACCAACGTCAAATAGTATTCCATCAAAATAATTTCCTGTTATATTGTATTTTTGTTTCAAAATATTTTTGACATCACTAAAACATCCATGTAATGGTATCAATCTTGTCCTTTTGTTAAATAAAACAAGAAATAAGATTATATTTTTGATAGCAGGGAGAATTTAAAACTAAATTTCTCTCACTCAACGGATATGATTTTTGTTTAAGTTCATTAGCCAGATTAAATGCTAGTGAATCTTGATCTAAACTGTACACAATCGAATTTGAATTTTTTTCCAACAAGCCTCTCGTATGTCCACCTGCACCAAATGTCATATCCAGAAACACCTAAACAGAATTAGAATGTAAATTGTAATTGTTTCACGTACGTGAAAAAAAAATATAAATTGTTTACTTGTTTTTCATTCTGACAAAGAATCTTCAAGACATGTTCTAACAAAACTGGCACATGCAGTGGTTTGACAACTGCTTGAGCCATAAAATCTAAAAGAGAAAGGATTAAATGTTTTGTTGCTTAAAACAAGTTGTAAATAAAATAAAAGCGATAATTTTTTCCGGCTAGTTAACAGCAATTGCTATTAAAAGAAAAAAATTATTGAATAATAAACGAGTGTGCATGTACCACGTATATCTTATTCAGAACGAAACAGAAAGAATGAAAAGTCAGCAACGAAGTTAAAACATCAAGGTGAAACATCTAGAAACAACTTTAGCATAGTGCTCAGCTTGATATAAACTCACGATTCTGATAACCGCTTCAATGTTTGAGCTCTCGAGGGTGAAAGTAGAAAGTCCAAGGCTTTAGAACTTTCGGTTGAATAGATTCTAATCCATCCAATTTCTAGAACGCATCGTATTACCTACGTAAAAATATTTCCAAAGCTACCAAAGAAGTTTTAACAAAGTTTTAAAATTTTATATCTTAACAACAGCAGACAATCCGAACTTTTCAACATTTCTTTCGCTAAAGTTGGTGTAACACTGTTAGAACTTGTTCTGAAAATGTTTTCACGTAGATAACTCGATATGTTTTACAAACTGGCTGGATCGGTCAACCGAAAATTCTTGATCTCGACTTTGCCTCTCATTTTTAAGGGCTCAATCACTGAAACAGTTATCAGATACATGATCAGCATCAAAAATGATTCCTATGTTTTACTAGAAACGCTTTTGATCATCTGGGTAGGTTTCATCGTTTAACTGAATCAGAGAGGTGAAAATAACGGAAAAATCTTTCTGTCGCATTGAAAGACAGAGTGTCGCCAGTGCACGTAATTATTAAAATTGGGATGTGAATGATGCAAAATTCTATTGCCTGTGATAATTGCTATTTATGCTTGTATCCTCCTTTTAGTATTGACTATTCATACGAAGGTCTAATGCACCCAAGGGGGAAAGCACGGAATCCTGAAATCCTGAAATTCTATGGAATCTAGTAGAATCCGGTGGAATCTAGTGGACTCCGATGGAATCTGGTAGACTTCGATGGAATCTGGTGGACTACGGGATTCTACACTTCTCCCGAAACAGAACAAAAGTGTCGTATATTTTGGGATACTTTTTCCCAAAACAGAACAAACATGTTCTGTTTTGGGGGAAAGTTTCAGAGAATTCAAGGGAATTTTATGGATTCCAAGAGAATCCTATGGAATCCTGGGGAATCCTTTAGAATCATAGGGAATCCTTGGAATCCAGGATTCTAGGATTCCGTGCTTTCCCCCTTGAATGCACCTCACCCGCCTACAATAGTTTATTTGGCTCATATTTAGTGCCGCATTTACCCCAAATTCTGAAAACGTATGCGTTAAGAGAGCGATCACGCCTGATGTTCTTCCTCTGATAACATTTACATTTCTTTTCTTTGTTTCTCTTCTTCCGTTTTATTTTTATTCCTTTTGTGCTACTGTAGTTTATCAATCCCTTTTAGAATTTGTCATGGTGCTGAGAAAACGTTATAATGAGTTTATTTTTATGAACTAGCCTGTGGTTTCTTTTGTACTAATTTAACTTCAAATAAAAAGTATAGAACAAAGATTGACGGATATCAAAATGAATAATCCTAAGAACACACGAAAAGAATTTGTAGTTCGCAATATGATAATTAACATTCCATTAGTATAAATTTTTCTATATTCGTATCCATCCAAACTCGAAGGCTTCATTCCATCAGTACCGGTATTGTTAAAACTTTTCAAATCCGTACTCATAACCGTAGTACAAATTTTTAGAACTCTAATGGTGGTGTCCTGCTGACAGACTGTTATTATTTATTCACTTATTCAAACGAAAACATCAAAGATAAATGTCAAAAAAGTGAAAAGAGTGAGTCGAGGAGAAAAAGTTAAAATTTTACTTTTAAAAAAAACATGTTGATATACATTATTTATGTCATTTAAATTAAGAAAACAAGAAGTTTTTAACTGTGGAGTGCAAACAGATGTTTTTTATTTCAATTTGTTCGTGTTTCCTTGAGTTAATGGAAATAAAGAACAAAATACAACACAATTTTTTTACATATATAGTTCATCTAAGTGATTTTTCATTTTGTACAAACGTAATATGTACAACAAAATTGACAAATACCTTTTCAAATAAATTGAAACTGATACAAAAAATTCTTTACATTCTTCTGTAGTATCGTGATCAGAAGTGACAAAAAAATTATTTTGTTTACAATATTATTTTTCTCTATTTTTTTAGTCAATAACTTAATGTTGTTTTAGTTAAAGACACATTTGCCTATCTTATTAAAGATTTTTCAAAAATTTTATTAAAATTACTATCACTGGAAATAAAATTAAAATGTGATCATTAATTATTAATCATAATTATGTCGAATATATTTAATGAAGACGAACAAGATCAAACATTCTTAACAGCATTACTTGATGAAAATGAAAAGAATGTAATAGAGAATAAACCGATTCTTATTTCTAATGAAGAAAATGAAGACGATATTGATATTGAAATTAAATCATCAGTATCTGATACAGATGATAATGATGAAGTAAATTCAATAAACGAAGAACATAAAGCAAATGACATTACACAAGACGAGAACGAAAAATTATTGGAACTTGTTCAAATAAGTGAAGATTATGACAAGTAAATAATCTCATTGTATTTCTAATTCCTTGAACAACTCTTTAATGTTCAAGCGATGAGACATTTATTCTACCTTTAAACTATAACTGTGAACAAAACTCATATAATATGATATCAAATTTCAAGAAAGTATGATACATACATCATTTTTATAATAATTTATTTTAGAGCCGAAGATGCAAATAAGATAGAACCTGTAAATGATTACAATACTACCATAATTCCTCGTTCCGTCTATGATTATGCTACAACAGTTCATGAAATGTTAGAATCCCCCCGTTATTCAAAATTACACCATGATGTATTCATGGTTCTTGGATCATCGGATCCACCGCCAGGTTTTGGCTTTTTGCATCCAAGATTTTATTATTTGGAACAAAAGAGACCCGTACCAATGCATCCATTAAAAGTAAGTTCAAGTAGTATCAAATCTTTTTTTTTTACATTATGTTATTCCAGTATATTGCACATATAGAAATCAATAGTTCTTAATTTAGTTAAGCAAAAGTAATATTTAATATGTCTTTGAATCGTATCAACACAAGATATACTGAGATTTTAAATTTTCTACTAAATGGAAATAGAAACAGACGGATCATCACCTTGTGAAGTCCAACTCTAAGTCCGAGTCGCATCAAAAATTGAGTCGAGTCATCACCACTCATTTTCTAAAGATAAATTTTCTACTGATTCATTTTTCCAAAAAAACAACATTTAGCCTCTTACTATTCTTTTAAGCATTCGTTTCTACCAGTGTTTTCGACAGTAGTTTTGGTGGGAGGATGGCGAGTCTGCTGAGTAACTCAAATTTTTTTCTGAGTAACTCAGTTAATCAGAAAAAAATGAGTTACTCAGAAGCTTCTGAACCAATCACTTACTCAGGTGCATAAAAGGCAGTTTCTCAACTTAAATTTGTTAAAAAATTTGAGTAAGTCAAAATTTTTTGAGTAACTGTATCCAAACGAGGGGGTGATTTGCTATCCCCTACCACCTCCTAATCGATAACACTGGTTTCTACTCATTCTGTTGAACATTTGTTACATGTTATCTTGTTTATTATCTTTTTTTGTAACCTAGATCTAAAGGTGGGCACCATATAATTAATTATTCAAATCATATAAAAAACGTTTTTTTACTCAAGAAGTTTAAAAACACTTTATAACAAATGTTTATCTAACTTGAAATTGACTCGAGTCAATTTATCAAGTGTATCGAGTCTTGAGTGCGAATCATAGAAAAGTGCGACTCAAATAGACTCAAGCTCGCCATCTCTGTTGGGAAAAGATTAGTTTGATTCCAAACCGAACATTTTTATTCATCATTCTGATCCGTTTTTATTAGGAGGAGAGGATATAGGATGAATAAAATTTTCAGATTTTCATCAATTTCTCTCTGTACAAACTTTCACTCCTTGTTCTTTCTCTTTCAGAAGAATTCAAGAGAGGAGTTACACAAAAGATTGATGTATCTATAGAATCTTTAGTAAATAAATTAAGAAAGTTTTTCAAAGAAAAGAGAATAGTTTAATATAATAGTCTACTAATCATTTGGTCTGAGAAAAAATGCTATAACATGCAATAATAATGCTAAACATAGAGAAACAAATTTCAAGTGTTTAGAACTATTTAGAAGTCATCCTTGTTCAAGTTTATTTGAGAAAAGAATCTTCACGTTTTTTTTTCTTCTTCTCTCTACTCTATTTACACTCCTGTATAGAATCTGTTTAAGAAAAAAGAAAACGAATTATTCTCTACTTAAAGAAAATTCAATTAGAATTTATATTTGAAAGGTAAGTGTTTGTTTTTGTTCTTGAATTGTGAATTCAAAATGAGAAAAAGTAACTTTTATTATGCATCATAGGGACAACATGTGTGTGTTTGTACATTAAAAATATCGTAAATATCTATATATTTATATATATGCCGGTTTGTAATAAATAATAATAAAAAATCTATTGTTATTATATTTCGGTAGAACACTTACAGTGAGAAGAAAACAAAAAGTTCACAAAATAAGATAAATTCTCATTTTGAGATCAGGACATTTTTTCTTTCCCCGGTAAGTTGTAGTTGAGACAACGAGATTTTTTTCTATCAACAAAGTAGTTCATATCGTGTACAGTTTGCATCCAACTATCGTCATCTGAACTTATGTCATTTTTTTGTTACAATTGATAACTATAGGATAAAAATCATTCAGAAAGACTAATAATATCTTAAAAACAATAATAAAGATAGATACATATATTCTTTGTTCTCTGTTTTATTAACAACATTTTACATTGAAAAATATACAAAAAAGAAATAACTGAACATTTTATAAAAATCACTAATAGTTTACACATTCCTCATGATAAGGTTCATATGTTTTAAAATCTCTCCACGTTGGTTGTAGTCCATTTAATAAATGTTTTTGACATACAACACATTTCCCATGGTATAAATTTACATATTTTAGAATATAATCTAAAACTTTTTTAATAATTCCTTCTGGTGAAGCATTGCTAGTATTGGAATAGTAGATGGCTGCTGCTCGAATATGTCCAGCTATTAAGTCCAGAACAATGTAAGAAGAAGGAGAGGAAAATGCAGATGACAATTTTGAAGTTGACGAAGATGATAGGCCATTTTTTTTCTCATTCAATGGTTTAACAGTAACATGCTCGATTGTTGATCTAATATAGAGATAAACTTCAATATTAGCACGTGTAATAGTAACACGAATAATTGTTAAATGTTCTGATAAACGAGTCATTTGGATTGTACAAGTCTGCTGTTGTTGTTGTTCAAATTGTTGAACAGCTTTTTCTAATGCAGCTGTTGTCGATGCTGTTGCCAATGGTTGATCATACCTTGTTGATCTACCCTGTTGTTGTTGATATTGTTTTTGAAGGGTTCGTCTGTAGGGTTGTACAGTTAAATTTTGACTTAATATATTTTGTGTCTCATTTAGTTTTGATACCCATTTCCAATTATTTGACCATTCATTAATTAATTGACCATTTTTTTCAAACGATAATTCATTTAAATGATTAACGAGTGGATTAAATTGATGTAAGGCTTTAAAATCATATTGTTCAATTAAATTTCCTAAATGATCTAATGATGTACTCATTTCGCATAGTTTTTGATCAAATAAACGTTGTGTACGAGTTGGTGGTACATTATTTGACGTAGGTTGAGCAGTTGCATTTGTGCCTCCTGTTGTAGTTTGTGTTTGATTTGTAGTGCTAGAATTTAAATTATTATCATCGAAATCAGCCAATGCTGCTTGAGTTGTTGTATTTAATACAACATTAAGATTTTCTCGTATTTTGTTTATATTTTGTAAACAACGAGATATAATTTCATCATTTTGTGCTTGTCTAGCTAATAAATTAGCTCCACCAGCGGCAGGACCAACAACAGCCATTCCCGGTGGAATACCCACACCTGGCTGGAGGTTTGGAACATTAGGCATCATCATGTTTTTTGTGATTTATTTAATCTAAAATTGAAAATCTCGTGTTTGTTTGTTTCAATATTTCTTCTAATTCCATTTAAAAGTGAAAAGAAAAAAAATATATAAATCAAAAATTATACGTTGTATAGGCGAAAAATATTAACAGCACATTGTTTGTACTTAAGGATGTATACATGAACGTCCGACGACTAATCAGATTTCTATAAATTCTGTAGAGACATTTTGCTGCGCTTAAAACCCTAGTAAGAAGAGAATGTTGTTGCCTAATGATTTTTCGAAAAAAAACGGTCAGAAAAGGAAACATATTATTCTAACATCACTATCTACTATATGTCTCAACAAATTCTTATTCGTATATCAATTTTTCTCTAGGTTTGGAGAGGATACAACGGTCATGTTTATTTTGAACCAATCAAATATACGCGTTTAGAAAATGAACGTGACATTTATAGTGTGAACACAAATGATGCACCATTTAGATTAAATAAAAATTCAAAACGTCACTCTTTAGCACACGATACTCGTTCTCGTCAACAGCAAACAAAACGTTCTTATACAACTAGCTCAACACGAAAACCGAAAACATCGGCAGTTCTCAACAGTCACAAAATTATAATTGATGGTCCATTATCTATCATAAAAGGAAAATCTATAATATCAAAACCATCATCAACTACTCAATACGAACAACATCGTCAACAAAATATTGCTACACAATTTTCTAATCATTCACTACTAAATGATCCTTGTATTGTTGCTGATGAAACAGTGTCAATTACTGAATCACCATCGAAATTAAATAATAATACGTTAGAAACATTTGTACAGCAAGAACTAAACGAAAATATGTGGCAATCTGTTAAAACATGTGCACCTATTCAAATAAAACCCATATCAAAACGAAGTAAACATTTGATTGAAGATATGCAACATTTACAACAAGAACAAAATATTCAAGATCCAACCGGATATTATCGACAAGTGTTACCCAATATTAAACCAATACCAAAATATAAAAATATCTATAAAGGTTTAGCATATAAAGAGGGAAAAAAAATTGCTAGTAATAATTCTGAAAACGATGCACCCAAACCATTAGTCTCCTATAATCTTGCGCAAGCTTACGCTCGTTTCGAAATCAATGCTTCTAAAAATAAAGGTCAACAAAAACAACAAGAGCAACAACAAACACCATTCAATACTCCATTTAAAGAACAGACACCAACAGCTACTAATTACGATATAAAAGAAATGCGTAAACGGATTGTAAGAGGAACAACGCTAGCTTATCGACCACCACCCGTAACTGGAAATTGGACACCTGGACGTGGCGGTGGAGGATCTGAATCAGCAGCATCAGTAAGCAATGTCAAAGTGAAAGGAGAATTAATAACAAAAGCCCCAATGTTAAATCATGTCTTATTTTTGCAATCATCACATATGCCTGTTAACATGACCACAGTCGACTCTAATCATAAACAAGTATCGCTAATTGATTGCACAAATATAACATCACCATTTACTAAAACTTCACGGGTACAGACACATAATATACGTTCACGCACACATTATACGACACCAAATCAATCACAACAGCAATCAAGAATTTTTAGTTTAACACCTAATTTTGTTACTCTTGGACAAACAATGATAGTTTCTTAACGGGCAATTATTAAATAAAAATATAATCTTTAGTCTATTATACTGCAACAGGAGTTTTGATTTACTAATGATCTTTATTTTCCTCTTCGATTTTAAGAGGCATATTTTTTCCAATGCACATTACTAACGAAGAAACCTTTTCAGATGTCAAGCTCCGATTTCAAGGACCTTTTACTCAGAGATCCTATATAGTGGCCTAGCAAAAACTCTAAAAGGATTTGGGTCCCTGTTGCTTCATTCAAAAGTTATGAATTTTCTATTTTGCCGATACATAAAACATTGAAAAATTCATAATTCAGTGAAAACACGGTATGAAAGACTGAAAATTTTTCCTGTGGCGGTCCTAAGTGTCTATAAAATTTTCAGTCTTTTTATACCGTGTTTTCACTAAGTTATGAATTTTTCAATGTTTTATTTAATGCACTGTATCGGCAAAATAGAAAAATTCATTACTTTTGAATGAAGCAGGGACACAAGAGGGACCCAAATCCTTTTAGGATTTTTGCTAGACCACTATATAGGATCTATAGGCAAAAGATCCTTGAAATCGGAGATTGGCATCTGAAAAGGTTCCCTCGTAAGTTATAATACCAAAAGATTTGAGCGCTTAATGATTACCGCTAGTTCACTGTGGTTCTGCACTTTGTATGGAAACATAAATACACAACTTCCCGATAAATGATAACAATTCTGATAAAGTGTTTACAAGTTCTACACTATATAGTTGTTATGGTGTTTAGACAACTCTCTATTACAGATGAATATATCTTTTTAATTGTAGAAAATGCTTCAAAGACCGTCAACAGGCCAGACTACCATACCAAATAAAAAAAGTCAAATCGAGTTGCCAATTATGACAAAATATTCTCGAAGACCTAGAAGTCGTATGAGATTAACACAAACACCAGAGATAACGACTACATCATGAAACAAGCCAAGCAAATATAGAAAAAACAAGGTGTTAGTTGGCTGTACGAATAGCAGAATAGTGTGAATCTTACAATGCTCAATTTTCTCCGAGCCATTTTCTCATTAACTTTTATATTTGTTGGAGAGATGTGTTGACTAAAACCATATCGGCAATGTGTATGCTGAAACAAGTTTTCTCACAACAGCAATAAAATAAATTTCTGCTCGTCATGTAATAAAAAGTCACTAGTATCATGTAAAAAAGATATTTTTAACTTTTTATATTTATACGTAAAAATAACAGTCAAAAAGAAAAGAAAAACTATATTCTTCTTTTTATTTCTTAGTTAATTTGATTCGTTTACTCGGTACGCTAATATCGTCAACATCTCTACCATCTAGTGACATTTGTGTTTTTGTTACTGGACTAACACTAAATCCATCAATAGGCGGCTTAACAAGACGAACTTGAATTCGCTGACGTTGTAAATTTGTTCGATCAACCGATATTTGTACTGTAACACGATCAAACATACGAATTGTAACATCTTTAATTGTTTGTGTTGCTTCCTAAAAAATTAGAGACGAATAAAAAATATTGTCTTATGCATATCAAATTAAATTACTTCTTCATTATAATTGCATATTGATTTTCCATTTTCATCTCGCAAAAACAATGTTGTTTCAAGACCATAATGTGGTAATAATATTTGTAAAGCATTTTTACGTACACCCAAAACATAACCTTCTTCATCTGTACATCTATTTTTAAAAAACAACTAAAAAAAACAACAAAAATAATAATGAAAATAAATTTTTAAAAAGTATTGAAGTTTATTTATTCCTACCTGAGTATGAAGATCAACTGATGCACGTGCCGCATATTGTGCCATACGATGACGATAATTTAGATTATTACATGTTTGTTGTAAATGATGTTTATTTAATAAATCCGGATATGTTACATCAGCATTAATACCAGCTGCTAATAAACGATGAACAATAATATCAGAATATCTAAACAGACATGTTCAAATATTTCTTGTATTTACATATTTTTTCTTCTCTACTAACCGTCTTATAGGTGATGTAAAATGTGTATAAATCGGTGTTGCTAAACCATAATGATCAAAACTTTTTCCTTCCGATTGAAATCCACTACAAAAATATACGGCTTGCATCATACATCGTGTGGCTAACATTCTTAACATTGTATTAAAATATGGATTATCAGGTAACACAGCTTTATCCAATGATTCTGCCAATTCTTTGCCTACATTTGCTTTTATTTGAAAACCCTATTTAAAACAAGAAAATAAGTAACATACACAAATGGCCCGTTTGTTGTTGTCCATGTTTTTCTTTTTTAAAGAAATCGCCTACTTTTGCTTCAGCTGCTTTGATTAACGGATCAAAATTAGAAGCTGGCGGTGTTGGATGTTTTCTCAAACATGCACATTCTGGAAATAGTTCATAAATTTTTTTTGCCACACTAATATTAGCGAGTAACATAAATTCTTCTACAAGCCAATTTGTTTCACGTAATTCTTTATTAATAACATCTAATGGATCATGTGTTTCAGTATCAAGACGAAATCGAACTTCAGCAGATTCTAAAACAAGAGCACTAGAAGAAAAGAAAACAAATACAAAACATTTGATACATGATCAAGTTTCTGTTATACCACCTACCCATTTTCCATTCGAGTTTTACGAAGTTTAGCTGCAATTAAATGTAAAAGTCGAAGTGATTTGGCTATATCATTCTGCATTCCTTGATCATCTTTAACCGATTGTGCATGTTGATATGTCATAGCTGCCTTTAAATCAAAATATAAACTAATATTAATATTTTAATAATTAAATAGTAAGAAAGATTTACGCTGCTTTTAATAATTGATTTATGAAAAGTTGTGGTTACAATTTCTGCATCGGGAGTTAATTCCCACAAAACAGAAAATGCCAAACTAAACAAAAGAAAGAAAATTAAACAGTTTTAATCTGATTATAATGTTTTTAAATATGTCTACCGTTCTTCTCCATCTCTCAGTGAACATAAATTTCCACTGAGAAGTACTGGTAACATATCAATTCGTCTATCAACTAAATATACAGTTGTACCACGTTCACGTGCTTCTAAATCTATGGCCGTATTTGGACGAACAAAATGTGTTACATCAGCAATATGTACACCACACTAAAATAGTACATTACACACACATCTTTTTGTTTTTAGACTTTATAAATGAAAAATTACTTCATAATTGCCATTTTTGAGTAATCGACAATGTAGTGCATCATCAATATCTGTACAACCAGGCGGATCAATACTGAATATAATATATTTTCTTAAGTCAAGTCGATTAATTAAATCCTATGAACAATTCACCTATATTAGTTTTTCTTTGAAAGATCAATAATCATCTTACTTACTTCATCCATAATTTTCCATGGCATTTGTGGTAAACAATCGAGAACAGCTTCAGGAAAATCGTGATGTAAAATGTCATGTTCAGCTAATATAACTTCATTTTCTGTATCTTTATCACCTAATTGACCTAGTGTTTTAACAAAATGACCCTAAAAGTAAATGTACAGGTACTGTAGAAGTCCTATAATTGATTTTATTTTTTTATTGTACTTGTGGATAACGAGAACATCTTGGCCAACAATCAATTTGTACAACAACACGACTATTTTTCAACTGTTCAGCTTGTCGACTTTCAATTCGTATTTTTGGTATTCGACGTTCATGTGGCACAAATAAATGAAATTTGGCCTATTTACAAAGAAAATATGAATAACTGAATAATTACAAATGATGATAACATACTCCAGCTACAGATTCCTGTAGAATACCACAATATTGACGCCAATTACGTTTTATTATTCCCACAATTCGACATGATGCTTGTTTTTTTGATGATGATCCAGGTACAACAAGACCTGTTTCTTCCTTTAAAATAAAAAAATAATCTCATTTTTACCATTTTATTAAATTCGAGTTAATCAATTGTCGTACTTGTTCAATGACTAAATCACCTTGATCATCGTCTTTATCATCAATAACAAGACTAAACGGTGTTGCCCATTCTGTTTCTTGTAAAATTTCTACAGCTACAACATCATCATGAATAGCACGATTTAAATTTCGATAACCTTGTACGAATAACTAAAAAGAAGCAATAAACAAATATGAGATGTTTTAGTTTTATTTTAATCCAATGATTCATTAGTTTATGTCAATATACTTGTGTATATTTTTCCGAATCTTGTACAAACACATTTGCTTCTAAATAGTTCTCTCTACTAGCTTGATATGTGCCTTGTAAATATTTTCCAGATTTAAGACCACGTTGAATTTCTGATAATGTAATGTGTTCAGGAAAAATAATCTTTAATTAAAAAAACAAAAAATAGAAATAGATATGTTAGTCTCACTTCAAAAACCAAAATCAACAACAACATACTTCTTTTCTTTTTCCAATATTTTTCTCTAGATCAAACGATTCTTCTTTTAATACGAGACGATCCAATAATTCAGGACGATTTAAACTTTGTATGTATTCTTTAACTAAATAATAGCAGAAAATGATGTAGAATTTAACAAAAATATGTTTTGTTTACACTAAAGTCTGCATCTATTTATATAACAGTACACAGGTGTGTTTACAAATTTGAAATGAAGAGTATGATGATAGCAAATAGCTCACGAGAATGTATTTATTCAATTGGTGATGCTCAAATCCAATGGTATCATTATGAAAAGTAATAATTAACATTCTGTAATGAAATTATAAAATTATTCGAAATAAATTTGAGTCAATAAGATTTTCTAATTTATCTTGCTAAATATCAATTCATCAAAACTAAGACAACTATTATTATTAGACTTCTAGATATTGCACGGGGAATTTTTACAATTGTCTGCTCGTCTGCTGTCTCGTCGTTCGAGTTTTCGTTGTTTGATGATCATTATTTTCCGTTGTTTTTCTTCTTATATACCTGTATACTGTTAACTCTTTGCGTCTAACTGACTCTCCAGATGGGCATTACCATATATGAGAATAATTTATTTCTTTGGAAAAGAAACGAAATAACAAATCAAAAACTGGATTTTTTTTTTTCTAACATCAGCTAACAGCATAAACTAACGATTGCTAAACAAGAAAATTTGTTTTCATGAGCCTAAACAAAGATATACGAGTTTCAAGTTCGGTTCGTATGATCAGTTGCCGATAGTAAAGGATCAAAATGAGATAAAAGAATATGACTACGTCGATTTTGATGGAATGAATAATGATGAAAAATCTGTTTACGCTTGGAAACTAGTACTGTTACTTATTGCATATGTCACATCACATGTACGTATGGATGCTGCTGACCATGTATTTACTAGAATCAACACTTGACCCTTTACTATCGCTGATTATACGAACCGAACTTACAATAGTATATCTTTGTTTAGGTTTGATAAAAACAAATTTTCTTATTATCAACTGCTAGCTTATGCTTTTAGCTTACGTTAGAAAAAATATGCATTTTTTGATTTGTCACTTCGTTCTTTTTTTATAGAAATTATTATCATATATGGTAATGTCCATCTGGAGAGACAGTCAGGAATAAAGGGTTAAATGAGTTACTAACGTGTTTAATTTTTCAGAAAATTATTTTTATTACTAATGGGGTTATATCAACGGACTGTATTTGTTTCTTTCGTGTTTTAATGAATATATTTCTAATGGTAATATAAAAATCACGTACACAACAATTATATGCATACGTTAAGAAACAATTTGTTTATGATTTTTACGTTACAATCAGAAATATATTCACCAAAACACGAAAGAAACAATTACTTCGTGATGAATGAATTGAACTTGTAGAAGAAACTAGCTAATAGGGAATTATTTAATTTCATAGAGATATCAATGTACGTTAACCCTAGAACGCATAGCCGGGACCGTCCGCGACCACAGACATGGAAAATATTGTTTTGTTAAGAAACAGATAAACACTTTATTTGCGCTCAGTTTGTAGAGATTGCTTTTTAAATTTTAGAAAAAATGATGAAGTAATTAGTATGGTGCGTCTTATTGTAAGGCAGTTTTCGTGGTACACCAGGGGTTCCAAAGCACACTTTTTGTGCTCAGTTTGTACAGAAGTGAATGCTGTATCCGATGGCAAGATCGGAGGTCTAGTCAAGTGTTACTTAGGTACTGAAAAATTAGTTTTATTTGAAAATTTTCGGTTTTAGAAACACTATTTTTTCACTTATTTGACTTCTAAAAACTTCAGTTTCAATACTAAAAAATTAAAAAGCACTCTATTTTGTTCAGTTTTAGTTAGGCTTTCTAATGAAATGTTGATCAAACAGAACGAACAAAATATAGCGGAGTTATATCTACAATATTGCAAAGGTCACAGCTATGCGTTCTACGGTTAAAGCAGATACACGAATCTCCTTGAGTATTAAACATTGAAAAAATAAAAACCACAGTACTAACGTGTAAATGCATGAAGTCCATCAGCACGTGCTAAATCACGGTTCGCCATATCATCTGTCAATAGAATGATTGACATATTCGAACCTAGAAAAAATAAAAATATCAAAAGTAAACAACCTTTCCATGAATGAAAAGAATGTAAAAGGGTACTTGTGGCCTCATTTATTTGATATTTAGCAAACTGAGGTCTTAGCCTACCTATCATATCTAAAATTAGAGTATTTAGTTCTTAATGAATATACAATCATCCGGCATTGATGACAACGTATATTGATAGATAGAAGAATGATCATAAGTTGATTAAAATAAGTTTGTAGAGGTTATACTTGAAACTATCTAACCTGTTGATTTTTGTAACAAATGTTCAGTGTAAAATTGTACAATTTTTCGAATAGCACGGTCATTTCTATCATTCGGACTTTCACCAGCTTTTCGTAATATGTATGTATCTCTAAGATAGAAAAACAAAATTGAGTAAGAATTAACCGATTTTCTGTAATTGATTCTGTTGCTCACTGATTAAATTCATTAATAAATACAAAAAATTTTCGTTCCGGTACTGATATTAATGTTCGAATGCGTTTATAAATTGCTAAACTCTTATGTCGAACCTATTATCAAATGATAGTCAATAAAAAAAACAGTCTTATATTATTACATTAAACTATTTACTTCATTGAGAACAATTTGTGGTAGAATAACATTTGTAAATAATGGATCTTCAAGGAGATCAATCTTAAAAGATAAATGAACAATTTGATGGCTTTTCTTATTCTTTTTCTGTATTCCATCTTACCTGTTGTAAAACAACGTTTGTATCAACAACTAAATAATGTCCATTTGGTATTAACTGATTGCCATTATTTACTTTATTATCAAGAATTTTCGTTTCATTCGTACATAGTTGACATAATTTAGAACCACATGAAATATCATTTCGTAAATATAATTCATGTGTAGTTTTTAATACATGACCACGACGTGTTTTTCGTAAAAATGAATTTATTCGTCGAGAATCAACTATTATTGTCATTTTTAATCGAAAAATACAATATGAAAAAGATATATAATTAATCTCAAATTTTTAGCATTCACATTTAGATATTTTATTGATTAAGCGTAGATCAAAATACGATTAAAAATGGTATCTATAACTCACATTTCGTCTAGATTTCAAAAATGGGAGATTGGTGTTGTTCAAAACAAGATTATCCAAAATCAGTTGACGAGTTAATATCAAATTATCTACGTTAGTTATACAGTAAACAAAATGACATACAAAAATGGATGACCTTGGATAGGAATGAGACAGTTCTTTTGTAAATAAATAAAAAATCGAAAGATTTCCACTAGAGTATAATAAAAACATTTTCAAAATTAATTAATTTTTTTTAATACCTTTCTTCATTTCCTGCATTCGAAAGAGAGCGTAGTGAATATGAGTGAATAACAATTACTGGTACCCTTGCACAAAACAATGTTTTTATTCAACTAGTGTTCCATTAGCCTTCTCGCATACGAAAAGCGTAACAAACTTTAATGAATTACTAATAAAGCAGAAGAAGAACATGAATATCTTTATTTGAATATTTCATAGTGTGTGTGTGTGTGTGATCATGATAGTAGTGTATATGAGAAATGGAAAAAAAATTCGAGATTAACATTAAAGTTCGTTGTGCACAAACACAAGAGATTGAAGAGAAGAATAAGAACTCGTTATTTATCAAAACTGATTTACTTTCCAAGAAAAGTAAACACTGCTCGTTGTTAGCAAAAACAAAGAGATGGATGACTGTTCAGTAACAAACAAGAAAAAAAAATGCTTAGATGCAGTTAGAAGTGAGTATTCTTCGTTAGTATGGCAAGAATGGTGAGTTTTAGCAAGATTTTTCTTTTTTGAAATAATTGCACAGTTTCAAATGTAAAATTGAGAGAGTTGCAAAGAGTAAATTATATAGAAAAAGAAGAAACAAACAACAACAACAACAACAACAATAACAACAATCTGAGTGTACGAACGCAGTTGTCATTTTCACTGTTAAAACAAAGAAAGTAAGTATAGAAAAATGAGTATTAAATCTAACATTATTTTTGTTTTTTAAGTAGTTTGTTCAAATATCATTAGGAATATAAAAGATTGTTTAGACAGAATAGAAGAAAAGCAAAAAGAAACAAAAGATATTTATAAGAAAAGAAAACACCGAATACATACACGCACACTGATACGTACGTATAATTTTGAAAAAATAGCATGCTACGGTGGCTCAAAATAATAAGGCGGCAAGATATCATTATTGTATTCTAAACTATATCTGATTGGAGGACAAGAATAAAGGTGTTGACATTTTACTTGTGTTCTTCGTCCGTGGTTATCTATATACAACTATTTTGAGCAAATTCAGATCAGAATTCTTTAATTATGTTTCTCTATAATTTGCTTCGCCTTGAATTAAATTATCATCAAAATATGTGTATAAATATTCAAATGTCGGACGATTATCCGGATTTTCTTTCCAACACCAGAGCATAGCATCATAATATGTATCAGGACAATCATTTGGCTGTGGCATACGATAACCAGTCAAAACAGCTTGTAACGCCTCATTATTACTCATACCTAAATGGAAATAAAAGAATGTGTTTCTTTTTCTTTTGTCAATATCATAGCAGATAAGGCTCTATTTTTGCTTAAGCGAATCAGAAGAGTTTGCAAAAAAAACGTGGATTCTTGTTGATATCCAACAACGTTATTTTTTCACTTCATTTACCTGGATACGGATTTGAGCCTCTTGTTACTAATTCGAAAAGCAAAATTCCATATGACCACACGTCACTTTTAGTTGTGTATTCTTTTTTTGTCGCTGCTTCGGGGGCTGTCCATTTTATTGGAAACTGAGATTCTTAAAAGAAAATGAAAATTATTTTTCATCAGATTAAACACAGATAACTAAACACACACATACCACGGTCAACCAGCAAACGTCCATCCTGTACAACTTTGGCCAAACCGAAATCAGCAATTTTAGCAATATTTTGTTCACCAACCAAGATGTTGCGTGCTGTTTTATCAAAAAATAGACATAAAAGTATATGATACGATTTCAAAACTAATAAACAGACCTGCTAGATCACAATGAACATATTTTCGTTGTTCAAGGTAACACATCCCTCTGGCAATCTTAAAATACATGACTTTAAAATTAGTTTCAGTCAATGAAAACAATACGTGTATTATCATACCTGAACAGCAAAATCCACCAGTTTGTCTAACTGTATACTCTTTCCATGTTCACGTAAATAATTCAACAAACAACCGTTTGTCATATATTCCGTAACAATAAAAATCGGCTCCTCTTTTGTGCACACACCATATAAACGTACAATATTCTTATCATTTAAATTTTTCATGATTCTTGCTTCATCAAGAAATTTCTCAACATTCGATGAACGATTTTTCATATCTGTTTTCATACATTTTATCGCGACATCCCGATTACCATATTTACCACGATAAACTTCACCATAATTTCCTTTGCCTAATAATGCGATTTTCTCCAGTTGTTTACGATCAAGTTCTAACAAACCGTGACGATCAATTTCGGGTAGTGTAGGTTTTATTTTGGAACAAGGACGACCTAACGTACAACATAGGCCATCTGGTTTAGCTAAACGAAAAACATGAAACTAAACTAACATTAATCGATCTATTTTTTCATCTTTAAAATTACATTGATAATGGTGAACAAGTTCTTGCAACGTTTGAAATAAAGTCTTGCTACTTATATAATATGCGCCAGAATCAGTACGACGTATACGATAATGCTTAACATGAAAATGCTTGTCGGAACTTAGATCAAGCACAGACAATGATTCTTGTCCTAGAGAATAAAGAGAAAAGAACAGAATTATTACAATTCTTATTATTTAACTTGTTATCTAGTCTTGCCTTGATTTGAATCCGATGGCCGAATCAAAAATGTGCCTTTCCCATTATGTGGTTGTTCTAGAAGGCGTTCAGCTTCTCGACGAGTTGTATCAGTAAAATACCATCTAGATAGATAAATAGGCTGATATATTAGGAACAAAAGATAATCAAACAAAAATTCTGATTCTATCAGTAAAATTATCTTACTCGATCGATGTTAAGTCATTTATTGGCGATATGTAGTTGGCTGGCACATAACCGGAATGTCCTGATCTCAAATTTTTTGCAAACCACCACTCATTATATCTAAAATCAACATTATTTTTATTAAAAAACTTGCGACAAAGTTCAAATCTAAATAAATACATACGTATGACGATCGACTATCTCCAATTGATCTTGTTTTCGAAAGCTTAGTTCTCCATTTGGTACTGTACCATTGAAATCATAATTTGCAATGTAAATTTGTTCTAGAACACGAAAATAAACGAGGTAACATATTGAACCAATGAAATTAACGTAACACATACTCGTTTTGCTAGATTTGCTGTGATTGCTAGTGTTATTATTCTTATTGATGTGTGTCGATTGTGAGTGTGAGATATGAGGGTTAAAATGTATTGATGCTAGTGGATCAATAAAACCGCCACCATTATTCGTCACTTGTTGATGTTGGTGTTGTTGCTGCTGTTGTTGATTTTGGTATGGTCGACGTTGAAAAGAATGCTGATTTTGTACGCCATATGCATATTGATATTTTTCCTGGTTTCTCTTTTTTGAACTTCGATTACCCATTGTCCTTGTTTTTCTTGAGATTCGGAAATGTTTTTTTTGTTTTAGTAAATTAGCAATAAATTATGTTATCCTACCACTAGAAAGAGAAATAAAAACAATAGCTATGAATAAATCAGAGATTGAATTGAGCAATTCTGTTACTTGAGAAGAGAAGTGATGGACAAAAGTTCTTCTCTTTTCTTCTTCTCAATATTTAATAAAACGCATGTCGATCTAAGCACTCCAGGTCAAAACGCAATCTGAAAAAGAATAAAAGAAGTCAGCAATGCTTTACCTATATACACAAACACAAAAAATTATAAGATCGTGAAACAATGAAAACTGCATATCTTCTTGAAAGAAGAAAGGAGTCAAAAGATGATCGATAATGCAGTAACTAAAATATAACAAACACAAAACACCATTTTTCGATAATGTTCAATGTTTTTTGTTCAAAAATATTCTCATAATATGTGACAGCAGTTTTTACTAACGTTTCATTTTGTATGAATATACAATCCTTCAAAATTGTAATGTAATTGAAATGTTTAGCATTGCTTGTTATTATACGATCTAAAAATCATAAATATATTATCCACTAATAAAATATTATGATGCATATCTTTGGATATAGCTTTTCAGGATAAACTGTTAATTTCACGGGAGGAACGGAACACTGTATAGAATTTTAAGTTGGATGTGGCTTAATTGTGAATTGTGCGAATTGTGGTTTTATTGTTTATTATATAATGTGTCATTTTAATTATCATACACGTTGACTATATTAAAGTTTACATAACTGAAAGGAAATAATACAGATTATTCTTCTACTTTGACAACTTTGTATTCCAGAAGAATAAATCAAGTACTCTCATTGATGATACATCGACGTTTTGCTTAAGTTGATTATCTGGTGAAACTATCGCTTTAAATGGAGTTTTCTTTATTGTTTTGGATAATGATCAGATATAAGGTTTTGACATATAGGAACATTCGCTCATTACTAATAAACATTTAAATTCATCAATATTCCATTTATTCTGTTTTTTTCCTTGTTGAACACTTAATGCATTGACGACCATAGTTGCTTCATAAGCTAACTTTATTTTGTAATTCAGATTTTTACATAAAGCAAAACGATTACCATATTTGTATATATATTTGTAAAATAGCAATCATAAATATATCAGTCATTGATACTCTTTGTTTAATTACTGATATTTGTATTATGGCGAGTTTTCTTATTCAATAAGACGGTCACTTTTATTCGCAAGCCTTTCATATTCCAAAATAGTAAAAATGGAACAGTAACCATATTCTTCTCATAAGTTTACTTTTTTCTTCTGCTTCTCTTACTCATTTATAAAGTACCTCAGTAGTGGACAACTTGACGTCTGTTTGAGAGATATTTCCGGTGTCAAATTATCAAATATTTTCTTACAATTGCTAATCAGTTTTCTTTAATTTCAACGGAAGGGATTTTAAGCTGAGCAGTTTTATCATGAAAATAGGATGGACCCATAACAAGTAAATCAAAATAATAACAACTGAGCATCAATACTCAATCAAATATCGTTCGATCTGAATTATTGTATAAGAAACAAAATTTTCTATGACATGTATCTAGAACAATAAGACAAGAAAAAGCTTTTAGAAACGAAAGTTATGCATGTTAAAACTTTATGAATAATATTGCAAGGTCGATCACACTTCTGTTGATGACTGACGACCGATGAACAGAATAAAAACGACCCACGCTTACGGCTATTCGCTATCATGTGCGCAAGTGCAATTGTAAGCATCGTTGTAAGTCACCTGTTTACTAGTCATTGGTGCACAGTAATCAAATTACCAACACCAACAAGGACAGGATATAACGCCTACTCGCATTCCATAAAATCAAGCTTGTTTGTTTATCAATCTGACGTTCCTGTTATATGAATTATTCAACTGCATCTTTTACCATCCGTGATTTCTTGTGAGAAATCCGGAAAGTATTCTCCGTCACTGGGTTTGGATACTCTAGGCGAAAACACTAGGCGCACAGCGTTAAGGACAACGTGATTTCACGTTGACACTAGCGTTTTGTGCCTAACTTGTACGCCAGGCGTATCTTAACTCATTCACTGTTACTTTCCAATTCTGATAAAGCCATTTCCTAATTATGGTAAAGAACGGACTTGATATTTAAATTAATCCGAACATGGCATGAAAGAATTGACTGTTCTCCAAGATGCGCACACGGCGAAATGGTCAAGTTATTTTTATACTATTATTAGGATCAATATTTCTAAAAGGGAAAAATGGCTGACTAATACCTAGCTATAATACAGCAACGCACGCCATCTGTCGAAGGTGAAAATCGAAGTTAATTTGCTGTAAAATATCACGCCGCCAATTAATCCTATGTTCTGCAAGTTTTTTTGAGCATCTACTATCAAAAGTTTTCATTGAAATCAAAATAAATGTAAAAAACGGTGTGAAGTTGATGGAGAGAGAAAGAAACCAGCATTAATTGTGAAACAGAAGTTCAATAAATGTTTAATAATCAAACAACATTTAAAAAATTCAGAAATCGAACAGACAAAATAGAACAGAATAATGACAAGGATTAATCATTCCATCTATGTCCACATGAAACACATTTGTAAAATGTTGTCATCGGTTCATCGGCAGATCTCGTTTGCAATTGCATAAAATATGCTTTTTCGTGTGCACATTTTGGACATCGAATGACTGTTGAATCAACATTTTCCCACGCTGCACTACCTAAAGAAACGAAATTACACATGATTGAGTTTAAATAACGGAAAAGACTCAAAAGGATTTACCTCCCAAGACATCATCTAGTTCTTTCAATCTTGTATACATTCGTTCGCTTATTTTTTGTTTGATATCACAAATGTAGGGACATGTATTACAGGCCATTCTGTGGCATGTATCACCTTGTTCAATAATCAACATATTACCACACCGAGGACAAAAAAACATTTTTAAATCTAATCTTAAATAACAATAACTATATGAGAAAGATTATTAGACACTTCTAAAAGAATGGAGGTAAGAATAAAAACCGAATTCAAGGAGAATTGACATACTACATTCAATTCTGAACACAAAGGATGAATCACTTACATTGAAAGAATTATAATTCATTTTAATCACAAATAATCTTCACAGGAATTAATCAACCTGAATAGAGGCGGCGGAATCGTAGGGAAAGTAGGGACGACGTCATTACAGATAAGGAGGGTTTAACCTCGTTGTTTAATCGTACAACGCCAATTAGGGACGAACATCAGAATTTTCTATTTCTTCCATAATTGGCTTTGCAGGGTTAAGCAACATCAAAGGCGACATCGAAAGTGAGAGTGAACAATTAGAGATGAATCAAGACTAAACCAAAATTCTAAGCACAATTACTGGAAGGACATTTTTACATTTATTTTTAGTGTTATTTTAATTTAAATGAATTCAAAATGGTCTTCCCCAAGAGTAATCAGTTTACTTTTACCTCTGAACCTGGTAAATGACATAAAAAAGTACATACGTATTAAGATAAAGCAGCTCAAACAAAACCAGCACACAATATTTTAAATTTCTTCCTTTAAAATTGCATATAAGTGTTCGTCGACATGTTTTCCATTTTTAAAACAATGTTTTCTCAGAATACCTTCTTTGATAAAACCCACTTTTTCTAATACGCGCATCGAACCAATATTCCATGAAAATACAAATGCTTCAATCCGTATAAAACCCCATTCATTCATAGCCAAATCTACTAATACGCGAATAACACGTGTCATTATTCCTTGGTTCCAATATATTGCACAAATGCCAATTAGTTCATTTGTTTTCTTTAGTCGAATAGAAAATATTCGATCGTTTGTTACTGATTTTTCAACCATCTCAATGAACGATATTGCATCTGACTCAGTGTACGGATACGGAAGGTTTAAAGTATTATTATAAATTGTTTCATTATTGCCATGTTTCGCAATTGATGGAATATCATCTTTAGTGATAGAACGCGATATTATGAGCTCATCGTCTACTGTGTAGTTCAATGTCATTTTACTTTTTCTAAAACTTTTGACATTTACATGTGAATAATTTTACTGTGATATCGACAACCCTTTTTAAATCCAACTAATACGAGAATGAGCTTAGATATTTTTAGTGTTAGTTTTAGTCTTAGCTTAAAAATTTTTCTGCTAACACAATCTAATCTTATATTTTCTGTTTTTCATTTCAAATGATGAAATAGTTATGCAATATTACATCATCAAACACGGCAACAAGAAAAACATATAATTCAGCGACGCTGTTGTTGACTGGATTTCTTGTCTGAGAGAATTTTCACTACATTATGACATACAATATAGTTCTTTCGGTTAGTCTTCGTGGCTCTTCGGAACGACCTAGTACGCGGTTAGTGAGTAAGTATGAGACACTGGACAAGAAGTTGGACGAAAGAGCGTTGTTTAAGAAGTTAGACATAAGCTAGAATATTTCTACCAGTAAATAAATATATCAACTTTAACTTTACTATTAACTAACTTTTCTATTAAAATAAAAACTATCACCTCTAGATATATCCAAGTTGTATTAAAACGATCATAATAGGAACTATAGACAGCTTGACTTCATATTGTCTATAATGAGCCGCCGTTTCTAGTATTTGACAAGCGTTTTTACGTCTATGCTTCGAATCTATGTTACAACAAATATTTTCTTTAAATAATTGCTCGAATGTATTTTGAAAACAATACTTCGCTGAGATAATAACACCAACATTTCGAAAAACAAAACAAGAAACCGACATATCCGTATGATGCGATATATTTTTTATTACGATTTTATTATCAAACAGAAAAAGCAAGTAGAAAGCTAAATAAATGTGAGAAACATTTTATAAACATAACTATTTATAAAATCTACAATGGTGGGGCAGGAAAAATACAGGCTAAAGACGTTAGCTTTAGTTCTGAGTGTATGCCTGTCACTTTTAGAAGGATATAAGACAGGAGAAGAGAAAAATGTTTAAAGTAAAAATAAGAAATAAATGACTACGTCATGAGTTCTATCGGATTTTCATTGTTTCCATTGCTCGTTGTTTATCTCTTTCGAGAAAAAATGTTTACATTACATTTAAAGCACTTCAAACTTTAAACCATTCGGTTAGTACTTTATTGATAATTTAATCGTTCGAGTTTAGCTATCTGGTATAAATTTATTTAAGCCAAGTATTGAGATTTTATCATTCAGTTTAATTTTATTGTAATGACATGGATGATCAAATACCAACTCTGATAACCATTGCTATTTAAGATTGATCAGCGACTGTCACTGACTCCTTTAATGGATTAAATCTTAAATTTCTAGTACGTACTATGGTCGCAATGGTATCAGATAATGTAACAAACGCATAAATCTAACCCTCTTCACTGTATGCCAATCCCAACGCATGGTCAACACGCATTTTTAAAATATTACCACGAGTATTTTGTAATTTTTCTGCTTAAAAATATTGCAAACAATGCATTCATTTATTTTTTGTAAAACACCAAAGAAACCTTACAATTCGAATCACGTCCATACCTAAAAGAATAGTACAGAAATACGTCATTGTTTTGTTTTTTTTCTTTCAAGAATTCTTCAGTATGTACCAGTGTACGAGATCGACCCTACTCCTGAATCAAAGTAGTCTCTAATCGAGATATCAATACTTTATTTCTGGACATTTTACTTATCGTAACATATTTGTTTCCACATCGACAACATCTATTTCTCCAACTTCAGTACATAGTCTCCCAAGATCATCTCCATTTGGAGTATGACTATCCGGACTAATATAACACTAGGATAAGTATAATTTCAGTTATAATCTGAAGCAAAACCAACAAATAGTACTGTCAATTTTAGTAACCGGACATGTCCAAAAGTTAAACGCGCGAGTTAACTTTTCGAGGAAAAACATTCACAAGGGTGTCGCCGCACTCCATAAAAAGAAAGTTGACTTTAAATACTACTAGATGTTTGAATGAACAATTATTTACTTTAAAGGTGTCTAAAACTTTTCGTTTTATTTTTTATTAGTAAGAATTAGTTGTACTGTAGGTTGTCTTCATGGCTAAAATTTTGCTAAGCAGATGCCGTACTTCTTGACTAGTCCCTTTGCAAGATTTATTATCTTTTAGTTTTATCATCAATAAAAAATACACAAAACGTTAGCGAAGCGAGCGTAGCATCATCTCAATTGTGTTCTCAGTAGTATGTAGTATGTAAGTGCTTAAAAAAATGTAAGAAAAACATGATACCCAATAATAGTGATAGACAATGGTAGAAAAACTTAATGAGGGATGTTCTAACATTGAAAAAGAGACCCACGTGGATGTAGAAAAACAGGACAGCAATATCAATATGTCATAGATGTCCAGTTATCATTATCTAGATAATAGCTATATAAATAGGATTTAAGGATATAAGGATAGAAAATAAGGATTTAAGAAGATAAGAGACACAAGGGACGGTGTGGGGGTGTGGGAAGGTGGCAGCATGAGAGTGAGTCACGAGACATTATTTTACCACTTTCTGCTAGGCGTGATTTCCGTTATCTTCTTAAATCCTTATTTCCTCTATGTATAGCTATTATCCAGATAACGATATTTGGACAGCTCTCCAATATGTAGCTAGAAAAACGTTGTATCTATGATGTAAGAGAAAACAGATTGTAGTTGTTTTCTACGTAGAATGTATACTTCTATTTTCTCTTCCTACTTAAGATTTTTCCACCACATTGAAACTATGGTCCATTGGATCAATGCGCCATCATTACAAGCATCCAGGTTTACCTTTAAAACGCAATTTTTTGTATAAAAATCGAAAAAATGTTTCTCTGTGCTGTGAGCGAAAAAAACGCTTACTGGATATTAGTCAGATGACGCATCACACTAATGATAATGTATAACGGTGCTTAGACTTTACGATTAAGAAATCTGGTTTAGCTTGCTTTTTATCTAATAAACGGACTTACTGGGAGAGATGTCAAAACGCCACCACATCCATTGTGAATGTATCGACATTTTCATGCAATATTCTAGTCGAAGATTGCAATAGTGAGTTTGATAGCTTGTAAGTTAGATAGTTTACAGTGAGATGAAAGTAAGCTTAATATCTGAAAGATTACAAACAGCAACATTACTTAAAACAATATATTTACAAGTACTCATAAATAATTGAGAAGAATTATTGTTATTTTTTTATCTGCTATGGGATATCTCAGGATCTTCACTGTAAATTGCAGTCATGTCAATAGACAACAGTTATCCGTATTAGTTTATTTTCGTTTATTATTCTATTTCTACTCTTTTTTTTATTGTTTTCTTTTTATTTGTTTATTTAGTAGTCTCTATCCATTACTCTATTTTTTTTTCTTTTGTCTATTTATCGTTAATTTCTCTTATATATTTGACTTGAGTCATTGTTATTTCAGATCGGTGACCTTTGATGACGCTCACTTTTCGTGAATAAATTAGTCTTAGTCTTAGATATTTGTATTTATGCAATCAATACTAAGAGAAACAAATCTTTATGAGTAAAACTGAATCAATTATTCGTCTCCTCCGGTCAACTTAATAATGTAAATATCAACTGCTTTTAAACACGATTAATCTGGTTGTCTAAAGGATCATCCTTCACAGCACCAAATACCACAAATTCTCACTAACATTTTCACTTTCATGATTGGTTTAAACATATAGTTAGTGGTATATTTACAAAGAAAAACAGATTTTGATCAAAGAACACAAATACATCTCTGTAGATTCAGAAAAGTATTATTCCTTTTTTTCTTACTACTTATCGTAACTTTCTTGTTTAAAATTAATTTATTTCATGAAAGAAAACAAATGGCTAAAACTAATATATAACACACTTGCAATGTAGGTAACTCTACATAATTACTTTTATATTATGGGATTTTAGAAAAAAATGTAAAATATTCAAAAAATAAGTTCATAACATGCTCTTTTTTCCTATTTCCTATTTTATACTTGTCAAAAGCATGTCATTTGATAAATAAAAAGAAAAAAATACCTAAAAAAAAACATTTGTTTTCTTTTTCGTGATTCAAAATGAATTATCACATACGGAAAGTGATATATTTTAAAATGCAAATAATAACATGAAAGCCATCATAAGACAAAATAAACCCATAGCTTCGGATAATGCAAATCCTAAAATAGCGTAAGAAAATAATTGCTGTTTTAAACTTGGATTTCGAGCATAACCAACGACTAACGAGCCAAACACTGTTCCAATACCTAAACAAGATACACAAAACATAATACAATAAAAGTATTTGCCAGTAACTTTTTCTTTTAAATACCAGCTCCTGCGCCTGCTACTCCAACTGTAGCTGCTCCAGCTCCAATATATTTTGCTGCACTATCGATATCATAACGTATTGCTGATGTTTGAATTGAACGTTTAGGAGGCATTGGAATAACAGTACTCAATGTAGGTAAGTGATTAAGAATTAAATTATTCTTCGCCGCTACGATTTGGGATAAGCGGCATAAAGCAGATGACGATACAATTGGAAAACGTGTTATTGCTGACATAATTTCTCAGTTATTTGAGCGCACGAAAGATAAAATCTAAAGATCAAAAACGAATTATTACTAATTAGTCATGTTTATAATTTTAGGTTGTTTCACATCAGAAGAGGAAGTTTATCCATTAGAATCATCACTTTCTCCAAAGAAATTTTCCAGACTTTGCCCTCGTTCACACTAGAAAAATTAACTCAATTTTTCTGTTTGAGCTTAGAAAGGCAACTGTAGAACGTAAATTCAAATCGGTCGGCTGTTAGCAAGCCTCAACCTTTGAGAGTACTGAAGCCAGCAAGCAGCACAATTTTAGGGGTAATGTCAAAATCTTCGTAGCCTATTAAAGATTTTGATCTGAAAGCTCTCGAAGTTAACTTCGCGTTAGATCTGAAAATTTTGTAGTGTAGACGAGGCCTTTTCCAGACGTTTTTTCTGCGAAAATGACTACGCCACGCATGTAGTGATTACGTCTTAAGTTATAAATGCACTCAATTCTGGATGTTTCATCAATAATCTTAGCTTAAAACAACCTCATCATAAGTTAAGATGAACTTAAATTAAGTAAATGTATTAGCACCGGTACGCTAGCTTCTTTTTTCCTACTTCATGTTTGTAGTTTGGCTTGACTCAAGCCAAACTACTCAAGCCGCTTGAGTCATTGATACTGAAGGTTGGGAACCTTTTATGACTCTCACTTTGTGAATAAACTAATCTAGTGTGCCGTAAATAAGGATCCGTGGAAGTTAAAAGTTATCTGGCAATAGCAGCTGGCAAAAATGGTCGCCGATGATTATTTTTTTTCTTTGCTTTTTTCTCTTTTCGTTGAATAAAAATTCAACCAATGTTTATATAGCCGATTAGATGTACTCTGTTTTCTATTCATCAATACACAACAGATCGCAATAAAAAAACGTTCAGAAAATGACTTTATCGGAATTGCTAGAGAATCGAAATATCGTTGTTTCGTTTTAGCTCTAAATAGTAGCTCCAAGGAGTCAGGATCCAAAATGACGTGGCTAGTCTCTCCTTGATATGAAACAAATAATAAGACGTGTACGCTCTTTTTTTTTAGAGTGTAGGCTGTCAGTCAAAGGAAATAAATATGTTATTGGTACATCATTTCTGGCGTGAAGCAAACATCCAGCAGCATGAGTATCTCTATCAAAAACCAGAAGCGAACCATAAAAATCTCATTTATTACAAACGCACTAAGAATGACGAATACCTTTAGGAAGTTTTGGGTTATTTTTTCTGCATCTCGAAAAGATTTATACGGAAAAATTTTCCTCGTACAAGAAAACACAGAAAGTAATTTTAGAGAACTGTGCAAATTTATTCTACTAATAACTGCCGTAAAATATGACAGAAAGTATTACAAAATATATTTTTTATGAGGGAAGCTCTTTGCTCGAGAGTCCAAACATTAATCCAAAGAAAGAGAGATAATTCTTTTTTTTAGTTCCTAAATTCGTATACAAAATAGAGATTCTGTCAAAAGAACTGCTTCGGCTTGCATATCAGGCCAAGTGGAAGTACATTGGACTAAAACAACTGCTGTCTGTAGTCGAGACAACTGTCTAAAAGCTTAATTTGCCGAATAGCTCCTTCATGTTAATAAAAATTAAGTTAATAAAAATTAAACTGTGGTTTATAAGTTTGTACATAATTGTGCGAAGTTAATGTGTTCTTGAGTAATTTATTATCTCCCTAGTTAGATGTTCTTGCATAAATATTTTTTTATCAACCTGCTAGAAAGTGAATAGAACCGTTGAGTGTTCAGAAAATGTTCACCCATTAAAACGAATTGTAAACTTGACTGCATTGTTGTTCCAACTGTAATTTATCGATCAGTCGTTCTTAAAGGTTCTAATAGTGAGCGTATAGACTTCACTAGGGGTAGCTACTGGAACAAGCAAATTACCCAGATCAAAAAGTCAGATCAAGATCTTACAAGATCTTATGAAATCTTACGGAAAAGCGTAGAAACGGATTCATCTTATAAAATCTTATAAAAATCGTACACGAATCTTACGAAATCTAATAAAATCTTACTATAAGATCTTACATCAAGAATCAGTTTCTGTGTTTCTTACAGAGTCTTACGAAATCAGACGAAATCATACAAGAATCTTATAGGATCTTACAGTAAGATTCTTTGACCTGGGTAGTGGTGAACGTTCTGAAAGCACCAGCGGTAAATGCCTGATTAGACCAACAATACTAGTATTTTTTGACACGATTCTGTATATCTGTATGACGTTATATAGTTAGTACACCATCAGGACTGTTCATAGCACCATTACATCCACAGGCCCTCTCGCCATCCATCCCGTTCCGCCAGCTTCCAGCTCTACAATATTCACAGCACAGCCAATAAAATATAATCTTCTTTCTTTTGATTGAGCATTGTTGTCATTCTAATCAAGTTAACTGGTCAGGCTTTCTTTGAAGTTTTTTGAAAAGTATGTTTTCTTGCTGCTGTTGGGATTATTGTACGGTATTTTATTTTGTTACTGAATGCAATCCGAAGTGGTTTGAATACAGCTCTAAATTACCGAAAAACTTTGGAAAAATGCAACTGCATATCGAAAAACCAACACGATGTGGCACTTTCAGTCCCAAAAAGATTAGTACCGCGTTAATCAAGAAGAAATTTTTTACAGTTCAACTACTGTCAGTTTGTAATATAGAATGAGCTGAACATTTTTTGTTTCAGAAGTTGATGCTAATTCCGAAGTTGAGGTAGCGAAAAGACTTATTATTCCGGAAGCCCTTCTTCATATCACCGACAAAAAATTAAAGTTCATTTAGAGTTAAAGAAAAGTGCTTTTTCGTATTCAGCACACTTGATAACCTGAAAAACTTTCTATTTTTAGCGAGAGGCATCGACAAAAAGTTAAGAAAAATTTTCAAAATTGTATAATTTTATCATGGGAATTTTTCTGCGTCAATTTGTTTGAAAATGTTTCTTAACCTTTTGGCGGTACCCCTCGCTAAAAATAGAAAAATTTCCAGGTTATCAAGTGTGCTGAATACGAAAAAGCACTTTTCCTTAACTCTAAACACATTTTAATTTCTTTTAATCGGTGATGTGTTGTAAGTTTTTCTTACATTTCAATAGATCCGGTCTTTGGGAGCCAAATTTTGCTTGCCGTACTTAATAATAAGTACAGTGTACCTATTAAGAATGAATATAAGTCATTTTGGATAGTTAATATTTGCATAAGAAAACAAAAGTTAGCTCTGAACGTTTGCAGATAAATAGAAATAAGTGAGTAGAGCATAGTTTGTTCCAAAAGTCTTTTCCCATCGAGTATTCTGGGTACAAAAATCGAACGTTTTTTCAATTTATGCGTTTCTGCCATGTATTTGTATGCAGACATGTGCGTCGATAAAAAATGTTTGGCAGCGGCGGCGCCTAATCTTCTAATTTTTTTGCCTTCGGCGTCAGTGGCGCAAACTTTTCCATTTGCCACCATCGAGCGGCGTGAGATTGAAAAACTTCGAAATCAAGGGTGAAAATTTGTTTTCTTCACAAAGCTACTGTATTCTATAAAAAATTACCTCAAGCAAAAATTGCTATTTGCCGGTGTTTTTTTCAAGTACTAAATGCAATCGCTTTAGACTATCCAGGCTCTTTCAATAGATATGTGTAAGCAGTGATCCAAGCTGGTTTTTTCTCGTTTTTTTCTCACAGAGGTACAAGAAAAGAAAGATTTCGTGCGATTTGATTCTTATGAAAACAGACTATGGATTTTTAGAGATGAACTGTCTGTGGTCGTTTTCTGGTGTCTAACTACCAGCTACAAGAGTGTGTGAATTTTGGTTGAAGTATATTTCTGCATTCACAAAAGTGTCTTGTTTTCAGACTATAGCCGACGAATTACTGCAAGTTCGAACAACACTATGATCGATGAAGAGAGTGATAACATCATCATTGAAGAGATAATTGACAAAAATAAAGGTTTTTCTTTTCAAACAGTTTTTACATTGTTTTGTACGATTTTAGAGAAATTTTTTATCGATAAGACCTTCAAAAAATTGAAATACACTGTAGTGTATACTATGGTATAACTATCTAAAAAAGTTGAGTAAAACAAATAAATGTTATCAGTCTAAAGAAAATTTGGAAAGAAATTGAAAAAATTTTATCTTTGTACGAGTTTTTGAGTACTACCCGACTAGCGTGGTTTGAGTACTACCTCTTTGCGTGGTTTCTGCAGATAGGTCAAAGATCAGGATGTATTGAAACATGAAAAACAGTCTGTTCAGCTTATACGTGTCGGACATTCAACGCCATCAACATAGAAAAAAGTTCGTTCTAGAAAATAAAATTTCATGATGAAATTTCACGATGCAAGAATCTCTATCAAATATAGTTCTCAGACTGAGGTCGCCTGAATTTAGCTCAAATCTCGGATGAACGAAAAATAATTCAGAATTATTCATTACGAAATGCCAAAGTTCTAGTCAAGGAGACCATCAATTTCGACTAACATGGTGTATTATACTTGCAAATGTTTTATCTTATCTTATCTTCTAACCCGTGAAAAGAGATCTTTTTGATACCAGATATATTGATGGCATTTTGAAGTAAAATCTTTGTGTATACAGAGACGCTGTGACAGCAGGAGTAGAAAGGGAGATCCCCCTTCCTGCTTTTTGAAATCTTTTACTCCCAAATATAGTAAGTTTTTGTGCTGGAATTGAGATCAACAATCAGCACTATCTGGCGTGTGCTAATAAAGATAACAACATGTGGAAATGAAGAGGAAAAACTCTGAACTCTAATTTGATGCTGCAATCGTTGATTACTCATTATGTTAAAAATATCTCGATTTAAGAGTAAACACCAACATGTTTTTTTTTTTGTTTACTAGAAAATCCTGCTCCGGCCCACATTTTGAAAGCTTTGTATTCTTCTTGCTTTCTTTTACTAACTTTGCTCTCTAATCCTGCGGTATAAATCCTTGACTCTTCGTATCAACACGCCTGTGTCCACTGAGTTTACTTCAAAGGTCAAAGTTTGAGGTTCAGATTTCAGTCAGTTGCTCAGGTTATGACGATGAATCCGTACGTTTTACTCTTAGATTCATACGAGTTCTATCTCAAAGCGTTTTGTACGTCAAAACTTGTGTATTTTTAGGCAAATCAGATATTTACTCTCATTTTTAAAATTTTTCGATTTACTCCGAAATCCGAGAACTCCCTCCCGGCTTCTTGTATTCCTCGGCGTATCTGTGTGTATATAGAAGAAAAGTGCTTGATCTATTTGTTTATTTTTGTTTAACGAAGATTGAACATTTGTACGATTCAGAGCCAACAGATGAATTAACATAGATTTTTGTACAGATATTTATTACTACAGCAGTCATTTATTTAGTCATATTATTTAAGTTAACTTGACGTTTCGACTCTTCATTGAGTCATTTACAAGAGTAAAAATAGACTATTTCAAAGTTCTGTTTATTTAATTAAAACTAGATAAACAGAATGAGAAAATTACTGTCTACTGTGTACTGTATTTTTTACTACTGAACAGAACAGAAAAAATATATTTATTTAGATAGTAATAACAATTTCGTAAAGTTTAATTGAGTCAGAAATTGTTGCTAAAGTTTTTCAAGATCAACATCAAGTTTCATATTGTCTGCTTGATCCTGATTTCTAAACAAAATCTTAACAAGATCTTGAACAAGAATTTCTCAGGCAAAATTATTCAAAAATATCATCAAGATTTTAGTCAATATTTGTTCAAGATCAAGATTTTTTAAAGACCTTGAGTAGATTTAACGTTTTACATTCCATGGCTGATTATGTAAAACGAACTTGAAACTCGTATACCTTTGTTTAGAAGTGATGAAAACAATTTGTTGTTAGCAATCACTAGCTTATAGTATCAACTTACGCTGGAAAAATCTGTGTTTTGATATGATGTGCCGTCACTGTGTTATAGGGATTCTACGATATCTATTAATGTCCTGCCTAGTGAACATTGGGTCTTAAAGGGTTAAACTTTCTGCAAGACCTGCAATTTCGTTTTTATTTTCAGAAAAGAGTTTTTCATATCTTTCATACCCATACTGCAAAATGATTTTCTAAAATTTTTTGGATGGCTTGGTTTTGTAGAGGAAACATTTCACCGCAAAACGAGGTATAACGTCCCATGACTGATACTGATACCGGTTTAGGGTTTTTCGTCAAGAATCGATTGTAGGAGAAGGATGAAGAGTTGTGCAATACCTCATTTTGTAGAAAAATGTTTGCTCTGCAAAACTTCGATCGTTTGTACTTTTCAGTCAATCTAATTCAGAAAAAGAAAAGAGTATACGGATAAATACCGGTGCATGCCTAGTTATAAGTAAAAAATTTAAACAATTCATCAAAGACACTCATCCAATCTTCAAACTAAGGTCATGACGAAGGTGATGACTATACGACTCAACTTTTTTAGAAAGCACCACAAATAAGCGCTTCTAGTGAGCATGCGTTTTTCTTAATTCGGTGGTTTTCTATTTGTAATCAGAATCAGGAAAAAACTCTTTCTCGAAGTTTTTCAAGTTTTTCTAAGTTATTCCCTGTAATTTCATGCATCTTTCAGAAAACTTATAGATCTCGAAAATATAACATTTTAGATTCATCCGAATAGTTCGAATAAGCTGGACTTAAATTAAAATAAATGATCTATTACTTTTCAAATGTTCATTAATAGTAGGTGACAAAAGAAAGAAGGTTGTTGTTTAAATGTGAGCATATTTTAATAATATCATTACATTTTATTTCATGATTTATGAGTATAATTTATTCTAAAGAATTTAAATTCTGTAAAATATTTTTTAACAGTGCTTGAAAACTTTCACCATATAATTCACCCTTAATTTTGAAGTCCATCTAATATTTCACGTGAGTTCACTTGTGAATGTCCTATTTTATATAAATATTGTTTAGTTTTTATTAATTTTATTTCAGTTTCTTTCATTTCTTATAAAAAAAATGTCGGATTTTGTAACCGACAAGAAATCAACTGTTCCAAGCCTCTTCAAAACTTTAGCCTGTCGGTACAGTCCACGTAGAGAAAAGTCCACCGATTTTAACTTTGATATCGAATGCAGAAACTTTACCAGATAGGCCATATGGCGCGAAAAAAAATGCGTGCTCTAAAGACCTCAAAATATGGTGCATGTAGTTTGTTATTGCTTTATTTGGATTTAAACCTTTGATGCTCTGTTATTGACGTCAGTATAATAAAAGTAGAGCACATTTTTTTCATAGTGCACTATAATGTTATTAAAAAACTTTCTTTTTTTATGTCATTCTTTTTTGAAAGAATGACATATTCTATGATTAACAAATTGTGCATTATATTTGATCAAACATTAAGAGGACTGCAGGAGTGACTGATGTTGTTAGACAGCTATTTTTCAATGTTTCACGATTTTTGCTCGGATATGATAATAGAAAAATATTTCAAATAGTCTCAACAGAACGTAGTATTTGAATATTTTTATATTGATCAGTTTTTGTTTTGTTGTCGCGCTGAGTAGGAAAATAATCAAAAGTCATGAGATTTTTACGCAAGACACATCTTTATGTAATCTGTAAATTTCAACTAAAAGAATTTTAAAATTATGTTCAAATTTGTGAACTGGTTTTTTGAGAGATGATCTGAAAAGCCAATGTTTTTGATAGAATTATTTTGTTTCATTTGACTTTATGGGAAAGAAAATAGCCATCATATTGTATCATCAGCGCAAGCATCAGAACTATACGTTAACTTCTCATTAAGTAGTAACCTATGTGAGACGATTGCAGGCCAAATGTCTACTGTTCCCAGAAAAAAATAGACACGTATATAATTCCTAGAATTCTCAACCAAGTTGAAACTTTTAGAATGAATCAATAGCAAAGACCAACTCATGATTGGCTTGTCTGCTAAATCAACCGTTTTGCTATTAGCTATCGTAAGATATTAAAAAAATGCATGATACTTTTTCATCAATAGTAGACATGGCAATAGTTCTGATACATTTGTTTTATAAGAAAAGATGGATGCAAATAGTAGAGAAAAATTCAAAGAAAAAAGTGCGAATTGAATTTTTATTAAGTGAGAACTCTTATTATTATACTAGTTGATACTTTCCATACTTCAATACTTGTGCTGGTACATTCAACACTAATGCTGCTTTTTTCTCCTTGGAGAACAATTCTTAACAAATATTTTTGCTTATTGACTGACTGCTCATCACAACATAGTCAATTCATGAGATTAGACATTGAAAATTTATCGTTTATTTTATGAAAATGCTAGGTGATGAGTTGTCTGAAGATATAAGAACAAATGCATGAATAAAAATAAAAACTAGCGAGAATAATTTATAATAACAGTCACATGTATACAGCCATTTTAAGCAATAAGCTTTTCTTTGACAGTCTTTGCTTTCGAATCGCCTTGTAATAAAGCAACAATCTTTAGTCCAAATTGTATGGCTGTACCAGGACCTTGACTCGTAACAATTTGATGATCGTTAACTGAACTGTGAACAACTGGTGAATTTGATAAAATCGATTTTACTTTTCCTTGCATGGAACTTTCAGCATCTGGATAACATGTTATTTCATGCATTTTCAAATCTTTACCATCCAAATGTTTGCTTAAAGCGATAGGACCTGCACAAATTGCTGCAATTAATTTCTTTGATTTGTAATGATCTTTCAATATTTCACCAGCTTTTGTGTTAGATGAAATTTGTTTTACACCATCATTACCTATTGAAAAAGCAAAACAAAACAATGCTACGGTTTGATTGAAAATACAATCATTTATTAACCTCCTGGAACAATAACGGCATCATATTGGCCAGAAATATCTTTTATATTTTTATCTGGAACAATTTGAACATTGTGAGCACATTTAACAGGTTCAGTCCCATTTGTTTCAACACTGCATATTGTAACATTTACTCCACCACGGCGTAAAGTGTCAACTGTTGCAACAACTTCAGTTTCTTCTGAACCATTTGCAACGAACAAAAGAGCTGTTTTACCCCTTCGAACAAACAAACAAAATAAAAACAATAAATCTTATAAAAGTTTTTTATTCACCAAACACTACTCAATTAACTAATAACCTTTATGCATTTGTTTCTATTCAAGTTAATAGTTTTCGATCAAATACAATGACATTAATATGTTTTCCAGTAGATCAAACTTAATTTCCACTAAACTTCTATCCCTTTTACACATCAATGCAAAGCATATCAAAAGTAGCACTGATATTGTTGACTTAACAAGTTAAATAAGTGCATCTACGGTTATCTTTACGTCTTTTTTTTATTTATCTTTACAGTTTTTCTTCTTTTGATTGATTACATATATTTTTGTAGCATAAAACAAAAAGAGAAAAAATGGAAACAAATTAGCCTAAGTATATAAAACAAACAATAACCCCAAAAAAACAACAAAAACACACACGCTGTATCAGGATAAATAAAAACCAAGCGCGCAATATCGAAGTAAAAACACATTCTCTCCGATGTTTATTTATTCACATCATATAAAAACATAATTCCGTCGATGCTTATCTACACTTCTCAAAAACCATTACTTATATATTTAAAAATGCCAAACCAACAATCATTATTATAAACAGGTTCATTGAGACCATAAAGAGAAATTTATACAATGCAAAGACAAAAAAAAGAGAAAAAAAAACACTACAAAAAAAAATGTACGTCTTTTAAAACAAATAATTACAAAATCTTATCAATTCGTTTTATAAACGCCAACTATAATGATTTTTCTTAACAGTTTGGCTTAAAGAGCGTCATAAATATATTAATTGCAAAACAATTATTACATAATAATTGACTACAACAGAACTTTCTGTAAAGACTTAAATATGACGTAATAAAACTAGAAAACAGAAGATTTTTAACGTTCTCTCTATATGCTAAACTTGATTTTCTTTATTTTTTTTTGCTTTCGTTCAATACCATTTTCTAATAACATTTACTCAAAACTGTTCGTAAAAACAATAGATAAAATACATTGGATAAAAACACAAAACAAAAAATAATATTTATTGTTGTTATATATTTGCCGGAAATGATCGTCGTGCAGCTGTTTTCATTGTTTGCATTTGCTGTTGTTGTTGTTGTTGTAGTAGCAGTTGTCGTTGAAGAAGCGAAGTCTGCGATGGAGGAATAGGTTGACGATTAGCTGATTGTGGTACTTGCCGTTGATTATTTTTCAATGATTGAACGGGTCTTGCAGAATGAGAATGTCTCTGCTGTTGTGAAGATGGTTGAAGAATCTGTTGTTGTCTTACATATTGTAAAGAAGTTTGGTTAATTGGCTGCTTAGGAAAAGACGACGGCTTCCTATTAACTTGTGATTGTTGAGATAATTTGGTTGCAAACTGTGACTGTGGGGTCGTTAGTGGCGAAATTTTAGCTCGTTGATTAGTGTTACTGATTAATGCTGATTGGTTTCGAGAAGGAAGACGATGATTTGAAGGAGAACTTGGAATTTGATTTCTGGTGGCCATGTTATTCGTACTATTTGTATTTCTAGCTGTTCTCTGTTGCTGCTGTTGTTGATGTCGAATTAATGTATTAAAATTCTTTTCGATATCTCGCTCTTGCTCCATAGCGCTAACAAACACGTTTTTTAATAATGCCGAATGTTCGGTTTTTGATGAACGACGAATAACTTGTTTCTTACAACGATCACACAGAATATCTAAATAAAATGGAATTTTTAACGATATGATCATTTCAACCAAACATCCATCTGAGTTTAAAGGTCATAACGATCAAATGACATTCTAACATATTCTAAAAAAGATATACTGGTTATACTTACTTTTAAGATCATCCTCATCTTCCCCTTCCGTAACTTCTTGATCGTTTTTCCACCATCGTGTTGTCCAATCAGTTTTACAATTAGAACATACGAATGGATCTAATATTTCTGCACGATCCGTAAATCGTTGAGGTAAACGTTTCAGATTTTCTTTTTCGACAATATTTATTTCACTTAGACATTGTAAAACATCTTCTAAGCCTTGCAACATTTGAAAATCAAAACTAGACGGATTTGGTACAAATTGTACATCTTGTAACATGGGTTTTGGTGATGGGATATCTAACAATTGTCGTTCTAATTGTTTTCGTAAAGCGATCTTAGCTGCAGTCATACGTTGTTCTAATGTATAAGAGGGGATGTGATTTGTGTTATTGTTACTATTCGTAGTCAGTTGTTGTTGTTGATAATTATTCGCTAATTGTGGCTTAGTCGTTAACAGTGATGGTTGTTGTCGACTACTCGATTGTGGTTTATTATTCATCACTGATGAAGACGACGTTGTTGGTGGTTGTTGTTTACGAAATGCTTGTGATTGATGATTAGTATTGTTTGAAATTGTCGATCGAGACTGATTTAATGCTGTGGGTGATGGTGATGGGAGAGGATTTTTATTTGCTGCGACTGTTAATGTCGGAGGTATTCTCGTAGCTGTATTACTATTCGTTGTTGCGGAATTATGTGGATAAAATCCATTTGTCTTTGTTGTTGTCACTTGACATGCTCGTAAACGTTTTAACATTAATAAATTTGCTTCCTCATTACGGAGTTGTTGTATTATATCATGTAATTTTGAACGTTTTATATTATGTTCAACCATATCACCATTGTCACCTGATAGAGGACGTTTCTTTGAATTTGGAATATCTATGGAAAGAAATGGTTCTGTCTTTGGTTTTTGTTCATTAATATCGAAATGCTCTTCTTTCATGATAGCCATCTAGTCAACTACTAGTTAGAAAATGATATTAGTTTTTAAAATCTAAAAAAATGCAATCAGAAAAAAATCTTGTAAAAAACACATATACAGCTTGTCTGCAAAGAATAAACCTACCAAACACTAATCGAGCGTGATGTACGGAGAATATTATTTGTAACCATTTTTGACACTAAACTAACATTTGATGAGAATGCATTTTTAAACATCTTTGAATTTATTTCTTAAATGGAAAATAAACCCTCTTACAGAGTGAAAACTTTTTCTAGGAGAGAAAAGAGCAAATAAGTAACTTTACAAGGTAAAGTTTTGGTCAAGGAAACATATACCTCTAGAGGTCACAATTACTAATCATCTCTGTTATGAAGTAATTGAATTAAGTATAGCCAAGGGAAACAATGAATATAATAATGCTAAGAATGTACATTGTTTTGTTTGTACGGAAATCAAGAGTCTTACTATGTTACTATGCTACCTTGATTAGGTGTGAGGCTAGTTATAAGTAGTATAGGACACGCGCCTTCCTTCTTTCTTTCACACAACCAAACGTCAACGAAACGCATTTATTTTCCTCTGATTATAAAGCACGAGATTAGTTCTGAAAAGCCCGATTATATTATATATTCAAGTACAAATAAGTCTCTTGAGAAAAAAACGTCCTTGTTGTAATTTTGAAAAAGCAGAAGCAGTGGCAATGTATTATTTTTTTAAATAACTTTTATAGGTTTTTGCCAAGTTACTTTTTTCAATCACGGTTTACATAGTGAAATGAAAAAGTAAAAGCCAGTGTATCTTGTTCAACTGTGTACAACAAGCGTAAATAAATTATATAAAAAAAAGAGCATAGTGATGATACTCAAATTGTATATCTACAATAAAATCTAAAGTTGAACGAAAATTTGTTTTAGGCTACTTGACATGTGTGAAGGCCAACTGAAATGAAGACATCGAGTCTTCTTTCTTATATTATCTTTAAGATACATGTGTATATAATATGCCATCCTTTTTAACGTGACAAAATGAGAAGAACAGAAAATTAAAAAAGCTCGATGCTCGTTTACGGTGTGTGTTTGTGTACGTAAAACAGTGCCAAATACCTCGGTAAACAGTAGAATACCGGGGCAAAAAGAAAGAGAATAGAAAAAG